CCCTGCACAAATATATAGTTAGGCAGCAAATGAAGTACTGCGTGCAGACTTGGGCACCATTCTTCAAAGAGGATGCAGCTTGTTTAGAAAAAGTGCGAAGACTAGCCACTTGAATGGTTTAAGGTCAAAGGAGTAAGTCATATCAAAATGGGATAAAAGACTTAGGGCTATTCTCGCTAGAAAGGAGAAGACTAATTGGAGACCTACTGGAGACCTTTTAGGTAGTGAAGGGACTCTCGGGAGTAAGGAAAGAGAGCATATTCCAGGAAGCTATCCACCAAGGAACTGGAATATGATAAGACCATTTACTTATATTCCTCTTTGCCGAACGCATCATTGTTTTTACCCATGAATTGTGGGCAGAGAGCTGTAAAAGTCTGTCTACTATCCATCCAAATTCACTTTTCTAAAAACTCTCTATTAGACTAAGACTGAATCTATCGTTATTGCTTTTTTCGTATCGGAGAATTTGACCACGGGATAGGAATTGCTGAATAATAACGAAATTGTGTGTGTTGCTCATCACTGTAAAGGATCACATCCAAAAGTTGTTCAATTTCACTATCCTTTGTAGTATCACTCTACGGTCGGACTTTCCCTTGGAACCGAAACATTACATACACAAATGTTCCCCCGAAAGGGTGAACTTGGGCTTCGGTTGATGCATTATCACCGGAGATGTAGGTTTGCTGTTCATGGCATAAAGTGAATTAGATTGAGCTAGGAATTTCCTTTTGGAACTTCGTGGGATAAACGCGTGCTCTAAAAATGTCTTATACATATTGAAAAGTTAAAAATGTTACATTACCAAGATATTTTAAAATGACTGGGAGGAACATCCTGGCGTCATCACACTCAAGAGTTTTGGCTATATCATGAGTTACCGATGTACCAAACAATCCACTAGACAGACCTACTGACAGTCTCTTTTAAAAGCAATTTATTATAACTAACTATAATTTTAACAGCTAGGAAATAAATTATCGACAACATGTGTCGGCGCTGGGTGGGTATTTGATTCATGATGCTAATTAATCTGTTATTTATGAACCCGATTTTTATCGACTGTCTTACAACTTTACTGCCATTTTTATAAGTATCAGTTTTGCAATCATTCGTAGTTTTTGGCTTGAAATAATATGTGCGCTAGTTGCGGAAACATTTTAATTATTATCTGCGTCGTATACTTTTGTTCTTAATGGTTACAACAAATAATTTGGTATTCCCAACTGTCGAGGAGCTTTTTATTTAGATCTTAACGGATCTTTTTATTATTCATCGCATATGAGTTATACCAAAGTTCAATTCTACTTTGGACCGTGTCTTTCTGGTACCAAATGAAATTAACCATGGCAAGCAGGTTGACCGTAGGAAACCGTCATTTTGTTTTAGGTATCGTATATCTCTATATTGTTCCGATTTCATTTCTGATAACTATTTAACGTATAATGGTATAGTCGCGGAAGCATTATGTGTGTATATATATTCGCCATTTAGAAAATCTCATCACGGCAAGCAAAAACAACATTTCAGCAGGACAACATGAATTCAGTTATTTCGGGTACTCTCAATCAGCTGCATTCGTACAATGGCAATCAAGGTTAAACATCAACAAAGACATGACAGGTTATCGGACAAATGAACACACCAATTAGGCCAATCACAGGACAGGGGCAGAGGTCAAACAGTCAACCACGGCGAGTGAACACATGACTGGGGTCAATCCTCCCAGGGTAGGGCAAGACTGGCCACAATCAGTTCACGGTAACGGGAAATCCCTGACGGTTTTACGCCTGATATGAAAGCACTGATTTGTTTGTTTTCTTTTGATGATTTCTCAAATGGTTTTGTTACTCGTGTTAAGACAAGTAAAACAAATGGCCGATCAAACGCTCGGTGTTGCGCTGACAAGCTTGCCTGAGTAGCCTAAGAAATTATGTAGAGAACTCAAATAAAATGGCAGGATAAATCATTTACCGCTATTCTGTCAGTATGATTTCAACAAAAGAGGCTTAGTTGCATAATATCTAGCAGGAGAGCTGTTGAATTGATGTTTTAGATAGTATCAATGCCATTTGAAAAATTATGAAACATTCAAAAAAATATGCAGTCGAACTTACGTCACAATTAGACTCATATTTCATTTAAGAAGGCTCTAATATGCGATAATTAACGTACATAAAGATGTGCAATCAGTCGTAGCTATACAAATCCCAGATTGAATAATTTTTGAGTGCTTCTAGGAATACAGTTTCTGTTTGTACAACCATTAACCACGCACTTTCGTGAGCCGGTTTCGGTTGCTGTCTTTTGGCTGCCAATTTGGATGAAGCAAAATGAGAAAGACAGGAAATTTGAAAGTGGATTAGAAAATAAAACGGGGAATTTCAGTGAACTAAGGTTGCAAGGAAATTGAAAAGATACACGAACGCCATTAGTTATGACACTCAGTTATATCATTCAGTGTCTCTAACCACCGATAATAATCATCCTGAAGTCCCCAGCTAGGGATCCTAACGAGGCCCGTGCGGCTGAGACTCCTAGTTAGGGTTTTCACGCCCTCGTGCTAGATCCTGTTTTCACCACCTTTGGCTTTGTTCTACTCATTACCTGCCTCGGCAAAGATCACGCGCAGTGGCATACCATTTTGTGACATATGTAACACATGCTCTGCCTAACGTATTCTATGGAGGTCGACCACTTGTTATTTCTCACCGCAGTGATCTTTACTGATTTTCGGTTTCTGGGCCGTCTGAAATAGGCAGTATGCTTATGGTTGGGTAAGTTTGCGAAGAGAATAAATGTTAATTAAGTGAACGCCTAGATGAGTATGCATAACTGATGGGCGACAATCACCACAGTATTGGTCTAAGAATAATAACATTTCTAATGCCCAGTTACAGAAAAAATAAACATTTTTTGAATGTGGACTCTGTTTTACGGGACAAACATGACTCCTTTTTACCTTGCTATCTGTTTTTGCCGCCATTCTTGTCGGCCTACTGATATATTTGTTAGTAGTATTAGGCAAATCATGAAATATAGAATTGTTTTTTCGATTGAGAGTAGACACGGGTTGCGTTTCTACTCCCATCGTGTGAATTCACGGTAAAGGTTTTTATAGAATGAACAACGTTACACTGGAAGAAGCTAGTTCGCTTCGGAACTTTGATGCTGATTAATTTCGGCCAATTTATTTTCGTTCCAGCCCTATGAACCAAAACTGAGCATTCCAGTTTGCACAAGGAATGGTGTGGCTTATAAAACGACGTGATGAAGTTCGACCGATTTGTCCACTACGTGGATGCTTTTGCCTGGACAATCGGATGGGCTGCTTCATTTGCACAATCTTCACAGCGGTAAACGAATTGTTGGAAAATTTTCATCCGTCTCACAGATAACTGCTTTCACCTCTTGGATATTTGTCGTATTAGATCTGATTTCTTGGGGTGTACCGGAATTTCAAGTCGATCACCGGTTCCCAACTTATTGGCGAATACGATTTTGGAAAGGTACTCGTTTTATTATGTTACAAAGGGCTCATTAGATTCTCGATTTTTAGGTTTCGTCCTTTGTGATATTGTCATGTTCTTTGCCAATCTGATTCTGTTAATCATGTCTGTGATAGTTATTGTTGCCATTGTATGGCCGGCTCGTTACGTATGTTTAAATGATACCAATTTACCTAATTCATTTCGATAGCGTCTCTATCACTTGAAGCCGTATTTACGAGCTTGGTGCATTATCATGATACTCTATCTGATAACCGATTTGGGCGTAGGTGTTTATACCTACTCGTGGTACGGACTGGCTGCTTGGGTAGGTTGATTAGTAGCGCTTATCATACCTGTTTTTAGCGAGCTCCGTACTTGATTTTCAGTGAAATGTACTTTATCGTGTGTTATGTACTTCACGTAAGTTTTTGTACATGTGCAGACTCTAAAATTTCATTGTGATGTTTACTCGTTGTGCAGCGTTAAGTTTTGTTTTCTGTCTCCGATTTCTATGAATGCAAGCTCTGTTAACATGCAAACAAGAATGCATTATGACGGAGTGCAAATGAAATCGGAAATAGTCGTCCACTCAATTTTGTCCTTCTCCGCGCAATCACACGTGCCCCGTCCGTGTTGTCCTGTGTTGTGGTCAATCTGATAACAATAAAATAAATGCTTGAACAACGCCAATCTCTCACACTTTTACACTTCCAGCTCTGGTGTCTTGTCGTCTGTTGGACGTACAAAGCCGAGGTTGAAATGACTTTGAAATTGGATGACGGAATCGAGGCAGTCTATACGTATGCAACTGCAGCTGATGGTTCCTTCATATCTCACTCAACATCAATGCCTTATTAAGACATACAACCCGTGATCAGCATCTCATTGTGTCTCACTTGTCTGTTGCGATCTCCCTGTTTATTTTTGCAGGTTTGGTTCTTGGTAATTGGGTTCTCCTACTATTCAGAAGTTCGAATGACATTATTTGGTGAAGGCGACCCTGAAGTTTTGCAAGAGGTGGGATTTCTCAGTGCAACGCCCAGTACAGTTTCTCCGCACATCTACACATTCCCCAAAGGACCATAGAAAAAGAATGCAAACAGCTTTTTACATGTACGGATTTTTCAAAATGAACATATCGACATATATTGTTTACTATCTAATTATTTACGTTGCTTTGAATTAAACGAAGTTCTATGGTTAGATTTTTGCTGACACGTGGGCTGGTGGGTTGGCAGACAGAGATGGTAAATTAGTAAACAAAATAGATCGTTGAAAGAACGTGAATAAGAATGGGGCAAATTTACGTTTAGTTAAGATTGACATTCACCGCGGTATCACAGAAAGGATCATTCCCATTGACAGCTGAAGTACTTGGGAAAGTGCCCATGGGATAGAACAGTTATTTCCAAAAGTGCACTATCAATGACTTCGACGTTGTCAAATTACATGGGCAAAAGACCTCAGCGGATACGTTTTCTTCCGACAGATTACTTTCTTTTTCCACCTGACAAGCGGTTCCCGTAAGACGCTATCTAGCTTTGCTGATACTTGCTTAAAGGAGCTGAAGATGGGCGACTTAGATTGAAATTCGTACAGCAGAGGGCGAATCGTGACCGCTAATTCTCGACATCGAATGATCACTCCGTTGTTTTCGTCTCATTCAAAAGTACTTTGCACGTGTAGTACGTTCCACAACTCTTGTTCGGGCGGCTGGGTGGTTGATACTCCACGTATTCAGCTTGCGAAGTCACAAGGAATCTATGCTATCGTGATTTTATGATCTGTACGTCTAAAGTTCCTCTAGATGCCGTGTGTGTATGTAGTGTGCATGAGATGACCCCCCGCCCACAACTTATAAAACCTGATGAAAATATTCTCTTTAATTGGTTAATGAGTGTATCTTTTCGATATATTTGTTCCAAGCGATCCTTTCAATGCAATTGTTACTATGGATTGTATTTTTTCGAGAAAGTGTGCCCATTCCGTGGGCTAGTCTCATGAGACAAATCGAAATGCCTTCAAAAATATTCACTACAATAAAGACAATTTGAAAGTGTACCGGGATCAATGAGTAGTGCAAACGAAAGTTGTGCGCAAAAACAGAATGGTACTTTATTCAAATTCATAGCAATGATAGTATTACTAAGTGCTGTTATGGGGTCAATCAAGAGGAATATTTCTTTTACATAACAGCCAGCCTCCCGTTTATAAAACATGGTATCCAGTTATTTGCCCCTCTAGCTTGAGCTCTACAATCCAAGCCATGAAAAATGTGGTTTGAACAAATTAACAATAACAGATAAATGAGAATCATTTCATGAAATTTTTTAAAACGAAGCCCGTTGAATCGTTGTGTGGTGGACTTTGCACCGAGCTGTATTGCGTTTCACGGCATTAGATCTCATTTATTGTTTGTGGAAAGGTGACCATAATATAAAACAGAATGTTTTCGAGGAAATACAAGGATTCGCACCTAGCCTGGTTGCACCGACCCTCTGTATGACTACAGGTAAAAAGGTTAATCACTGTCCGGATAAACGATTTTATCTTAGCAAAATCGGCTCGTTTTTGCGCATGCCTGCTCCGTTGAAACAATTCGTACGTCCCCCCTCCAGCGGAATACCACTCACAACACGTGTTCATCAAGATAGGTATCCAGTAGTTGCAGGCAAATGTGCCCATCAAGTCTGAATGATAATAGTACACAAGTGTTGTTCAGTTTCAGTCCGGATTCGATGTGGTCTTATCAATTCAGCTGATCGATTCTGGGTGTATTAGCCCAAACAATTTACTGTTAGAGCACTCTATCACACTGGACAGTTTACACTCTCAGCAAGCTCGAGCTCCTTTTGGCTCGACTTTGCACAACTGTATCACCAGCTACTCGGACGAGGGTGAACAGTGCAGACTAGGTATAAAAGAAAGAGATCTGACTCCTCTTGGGACATAGAACCACACAATAAAGAGTCATTGTTGTATAAGTTGCGTTCATCTGTGTCTGTGTATGTGCGCGCGTGCGTGCTTGCGAGTATTGGATGTAAACCTCACATATCTTCGAATCTGGTGAGCGATTGGTTGACGTGGAACAAAATGCTTGCCAAAACTACATGAGAATTAGAATTCGGTTATAGTGATCGGGATTATTTGCATAAAGATAAATGCAAACTGAACGAACGAATAATTCTTTTCGAATAGGAAAAATCATCAAAAGGCACACCGAGACCTGATATTTACAAAGTTTAGCGGAATCTGTTTGTTCTACTCGTGAAACGTAGCATGCACAAAACAAATATGTATAATCTGAATCATCGATTTTCAGAATGTCTGATTTGAAATGGAACTTATTTAAATAACACATTTATTTTTATTTTTCTGGTCACACCTAGCGGTTTGCATTTGCTATTGAACGATGAGAGTATTTAATTTTTAGCATTCCTAAAAATAAAATGTGATGAATTTTTGTTAAAACTTCTGCTGGAAGAAGAGAAATTTATACGTTGTGTCAAAGTGGATCGGACGCAAAATCAACTTTGACGAGGAGGAAGTGGAGCGTGCAGCAAGGCTTTCGTGTGTGTGTTGTTTTGCTTATACGCTTTCCCTGGAGTCTTACTAGCCATCAGTTCTGTTACGGATAACAGGGTTTGTCATTCCGTTCGTTGATCCCAGTTAGAGCAACGGCATGGAACGGGCACGTGTAAATCGACCAAGTTAATCAGGCAGGCCGCACAGAATTGGAATGAAGCCAGTCGTAGGACCGCGAATGCGAAAGGTCCACTCACTGTTCACTGGCGCACGTCGCTTTCCTCGAAAGATGATCGGAACCAAATAGGACCACGGATTTCGGTCCGAGGTGGAACATACGTTTCTTTTTGCGAGGCGTTCGTCATTCATATCTCGTTGATAGGCCCTGGGGATCTGCTTCGTTGATGAGCTCGGTTTTACTTCTTCCCGTGTTTACGGTCGACAGGATTGGGTTCAACGGTAGAGTCTGAAGAATGATCAATCAAAATCAATAATCAGAAATAAGAATCGAAGGTGTACGAATAAAAGATAAACGGGATAGAATTGTTGAGTAAGAATGTGACCGATTGCTAGTTTTTTTCAAAAATCACAACAAATATAAGGGAATCTGAGTAGGCAATATTATGCTCATATGAAATGAAAGTGAAGGTTGACGGATGCGCACATGTATACCTACAAATTAATCCAAAATGTTGCACCATTCGCCATGGTTTTATGCTAAAAGATAGGTTCAGAATGTAAAGTAACAATACGCCTGATGTATTACGTTTTATGAAATCAAATGTTATCAATAATCGTTTGGTTTAGCATACATCGAATGTATCAAAATGTGAGCTCGTGGTACAGTGGAATTCCTCGTCTGATTCCACATATGATAATCAGTTGGCAATTGTTTTGCACCCATACACCGAGGAAACAAATTGTGTATGAGCAGCACAACATACACTAAGATGTGGGGCCATCCGGTTTCAAGTATTCAGAGGAAGTGTACTGCTTCAAGTAACAGATATCACGAAACAGTAATGAAGATAAGTTCAATGTGATACCCCCATTTTAAGGATTGATAGCAGTGAGCATGGGGACTGGACAGAAAACGGTAGCAGTGGCTAATGCAGTTGCCAGAGGCAGCATCGTGGATCAAACGGGACCACACTAAATGCAGTCCAAGCGAAGAATCAAGCAAGGGAATCATTGTCAAACGATTGGGCCAATTGAGTTGGGATAGCATACTGTAAGTTGGCTGACTGGTTCAAGGATGACAAGAACATTGGAAAATTGTGAATAGAGCACGTGGCTTGGTGTGAGTAACCAGTCGAAAATCACGCACATCATGATGCCTGTAAACGTGCGTCGACGAAAGCTCCGATATAAGTGGTGGGTCAATAGAAGAACGTGATGGAACTGACTTGACAAAGGCCTTCTAAGAAGGTCGAAACGTTGTCACCGAAATCTTGTGTTTTGGTATTCACGTTATGGCTAAAACAAACCTGATTCTATTGTAGCGTAATGGAAGCTTTGAACATAAATCATATACATCCACCATAGTAAAAACAGTGAGTGTGTTAGGTGAAAAAGGTGAAACTGGAAGAATGCTCCCATTGGCTTGAACAATTTGTATAGTGTAAGTTATTTCGAGGTTACCTCCAAAATTGACCACTACGGCAGTGAATATAGTTGGTTGCAATAAAATAAAACCCCTGGAATAATAAAACATAACAACCGAACTGCAATGTACACGGTCGTTTTCTAACTTATTTACCGCTACGACTGCAGTCATGTAACTCTGAATTACCAGAAACTAACTGATTGCATGGTTAGAATCTGA